TCTTTTAATTAACATATTATATTATTTAATTTTTTTACTATCTTGTTTGTATTAATTAACATACTATATATTAAAATTTTGTTTTAATTATATTACACAATGTTGTAATTGACTAATTTTTCATGATATCCTTTTTGATTTTTTGTTGTCAAACATGTATTGTTAATCAACTAGTTTATCAACTAACAGTTAGTTTGTCAATCATAATTTTATGATGTCTGATCAAAATTATAAACCAATAATCAATAGAAATAAAAAAAAATTGATTTTATATAATATAATAAGTCCATTTTTCAACAAACCCAAATTTATATTAAGAGATTAAACTAGAAAATAAAAATTAATTTTTTGTTATTTATATTTTTGTTCTTATTTTCTTTCTTTAGGATCTTATAATATCATACCTTTATAGAGAAGTCGAAACCAAAATGGTTAAAAAAATTAAAAGAATATGAAAAATGGGGAAATAATTCTGATGAAACTCTAAAAAATCAAATAATTAATCAAAACTTGTAGATTGAGATGATGACGTAATTAAAAGCTTTTTTAAATAAAAACTTTCTCATATTTTTCAAATCTAAAATTGACAACAAATATAATCAAAATTGAAGAAAAAATCATACAAAAAATAACTAGTCTAATTTATAAATACGGCTTAACATAGACCAAAAGGTTTATGTTAATTTGTTGGAGTACTCAGTTATAATGATAATCAGTCTGTTTATATATAAACAGTGTTCAAAAAGGCATTTCATGACATCTCCGCTGTTACAAAATAGCCTAGAGTGTTTTTGTAAGGCATGAGACGTAGCTTTAGTGTTTTTACACTTTTAATTTTATATTTTACACTTTTATAGATTTATTTAATCACATCACTCACTGTTTCATGAATTCATAAACGTTAGGAATTCACGATTAAAACGAAGTTGTAAACTTATCTTTCTAAGTTCTATTTTGAATATTCAATCAAGAACTATTTTAATAATAATAATAATCTACATTATTTTTCTTCATCTAATATGAATGTATATATCTTTTAATATCATAATCTGATCAGATATATATATATATATATATAATTCTATATATGACATAAAAAAACTTTGTCTTATGTCACGTCTTGAAAAACGTTATATCCTTACCGTGACATGTAAAACTTGAGGTTTTGACCTCGTCACCACACCACCTTGCATATAATGATGTTCAGAAACTAAAAAAATAAGCAGACGTTTATTAGTTGATGACAAATAAACCAAACCCAAATCTAGTCAACTAAAAATAAACTTCATTATGCATTTTTTTGGTTTAAGATTTGTTATAAAATTTTGATTAAATCTTTAAACGCATTTAGATTTAATTTTGCTCTCTCTCTCTCTATATATATATATAGATTGGATTGAGTTTCGGTGAGAATGGTAAGAATGAACCTACATCTTGGATCGATACTAATTGAAGAGTTCCATTAAATCAACATTAATGAGAAGTAGCGGATCAATTCCCTTATGAAGCGTAATTCGTGGGTTGTTTTGAGATTAAAAATGATCAATGATACAAATCTTTTTTTACGCTTCTCATCTTAACTCTTATTCTCACACATATTTTAAAAAGTAAATCTCTTTCTTGGTAGTTTCCACCGCTTGTCCAGAGTTGAGCCATGGGATTTGACAACATAACTTCGGGAGAAGGTGTGCCTCCTCTATATAAACTTTGTTTGGTATGAAATATGAAATTTTCACGTGGTTTTAAACTTCTTATTATAAGTATTATGATGCAATTGATTATATATTTCAATGAGTGTTAGGTATAAACGACCATGCATTTGGCAACTCAATGCATGTATGATTTGGAAAAGAACTAAACTACATGTGCAGTTTCAGTTGTGATTTTGACTCAAAACTGCACCACACATCACAAGCACTCCTAGTTATGACAATTTATTTTCTTCATGTTCTTATCAAGTGTTTGTAATATATCAATGTTGTTACGTAAAAAGCAAGAAATATCATCAATAACCTAAGGTTATGATTTAACTGTATTTGTTAACATTATCGATAAATAAGTGATCTGTATTTTTGATTAACTGAATTAATGCTCTGTTATAACACAACCATTCTATTAACAAGGCTGTAGAGGCATCATTTAAATTTGTTAAAACATAATTTTTTTGACTTTTTTTATATTTGGAATTCATATCTAATTAATATTCAGTGATTGAAAAAAGGACTTTGTTTTTACATTTATGATCAATAAATGTTTAATTGTTCAATAAACTATTAATTATCCATATTAAATTTTATGAAGAAAGTCACATGAAAAATAATAGAGCCAAAAATCAGAATTACATGTACAAAGCTATCATAATTTTTATGATGTCGTATACAATTCGAAAAACTAAAACTGACCAATGTAATCTGCATGTAATGTTTTAGAAAATAAGAGTCGTTTACGACTGTATCTCAATTATGAGTGTAGTTCATGTCAATGATGTGAGTTTTAAGCATTTTGGAAAGTCGAAGTCATGTGATTGATGTGAGTTGTCAATACATCAAATTTATGATTGAATTAAGAAGATTAATACAAACACTTGTTGTAATGAAAATTTTGTCAATTATGTTGTTTGCATTTTATGAATCTTTTTCACGCTACAACAAAAACATGATAATAAACTGTTTTATAAGACCAAAAAATAAAGCGTTGTAATAAGTTTTATAGAACGTCTTTTGGCGTCTTAACAACTTTTTTAGATAAAATGTCTTATCAACAATTTTATAGAATACTATTTGATAAAAAAATGACTTATAAAAAGATGAGTGTATAAGACATTTTCTTAAAAGTGTCCTATAAAATTGCTAAGGTAACGTTTTATACTAAAAGTGTCCTAAAAATTTGTTAGGAAGCTCAAAAACGTCATATCAACTATATTTGACAAAATGTTCATTGATCAGAAATTTATGGTGGTTATTTTAAGGGATTGTGCTCGGAATTCATGTTGCATGGTCATCGAAATACATTTTATAATAGACTACTTTAAATATCGATGTTTTGATCAAGATAGATAACTAAATAAAATGAAATTAATCACAAGGATGGTATCCGATTGGTTTGAGCTTATGCTCTAAAGATCAAAAGTGTCTGGAGATCTCAGATTCGAATCCAACAAGGAATCAAAATTCTCTTGTGGCCACGGAGGTTCAAATGCGATGACTCCGGACTACCCACGAAGCGGATGATCTCATTGGGATTAGTCAGCTCGCATAACGGATTGGATATCCAGGTTAATAAAATTTTTTTTACTTATATCTATCTAACCATTGTTGTTCTTTTATAGGAGCAAAGACCGCAAGTATAAAAATTCATGTCATCTAGGAGTTTTAAGGGATATGATATATACCCGATTTGGGACAAATGATGAGAGAAAATAATAGTTTGATAATATATTGTTATAAAGCGTAAATTATGTTTTTTTTAGTTTGTTAAAAATTACTATTTTTGTTTCCATGTGTTAGAAATTACGGTTTTCATCGGTTTGTAATTCATTACTGTTTGTGTTCTTATGACTTAACAATTTGTTTATGTTTCGGTCGATGTGGTTTATAGTTTGTTATTTTTTTTGATCCATTCTACTTAAATGTAGGAATTAATCCAGAGACAAAAATAACAATAAATTGCAAACCATAGGAACAAAAGTCGCAATTTCTAAACACCACGAACGAAAATAGAAATTATTAACATACCATATGGACTAAAATCGTAATTCACTCTATTATTAATTATGTTAATTGTATTTTATGTTAGTTAATCCGATAAAAACGAGATAATTAATAGAATTAAGTGTATGTAAATATTTAAATGTGAAGGATCGTGTAAGAAAAAGAGTTAAGATGAGAGACATAAGAAGAGATCTGGACCATTGATCACTTTTAATCTCAAACTCATCCATAAATCGCGTTTGATATGGGGATTGATCCGGTACATCTCGGTGCATCTCATCCTAATGTGCATCCAAGAGCGGAGATCCCTTCTTATACTTCTCATCTTAACTCCTCTTCTCACCGAAATCCAACCCAATATTTAAATATTTAATTATAAAATAAATACAATTACAATGACGTTTTTATAAATTCTTATGGAAAACCCAATAAAAACAGAAAGAAAATGAAAAATGTGCATAATAAAAATTTGAGAAAAGTCTAAAAAAAAACTCGATAAACCTTCTCATGATCAAATTTCTGAACTTTTTTTTGTCATAAATCAATCCTTAAAACTTCCCATTTGGGATGATCAAATCCATGAATAAAATTTTATTGTTTAACAAGTAAACTATTGAACTTTAGAAATTGGTTATCTACATCTCTTTAACCTAAAAAAATACGTGTAATCGGGTAGAATGTTTTATAGTTAAAAAAACATATATTTGTTTTATCTTTCTCAAACATTCCTCCATTCAAACCCCTCACCCCCAACGAATTGCTCCCCCTCGTTGTCCGCTCTCCATCATTGCCTATCTAGGCCGTTTGTAACACCCGTGATTTTTAGAGGCCTTCATTTGGTTAATGGTGAACTAAAAAGGAAGTTTAATAAAGTTTTATATAAATAGCGTACTGGAACCATCAAGGATTAGATCAAGCACAAAAAAAAAACGAACAAAAAGAGGTGAAAACGGAGCCTTGCGACCTGGCACGGGACCTTGGGTCACATCCATGCCTCATATGTCACTAGAGGCAAGACAAGAGAGGCGTGTGACTATCCACGCATCCTGCGATAGCAGGCAAGGTCGCGGGATGCAGACATGCAACTTAAATTCATTTTTTTAAGGTTTTCTTCATTTTGCTATAACTCCTTCATCTCTTGCTTGATTTTGGTGATTCTTAAGGCCAAAAACTCGATTTTGGAGCTTTTCAAGAGGTGATAAAAAAGAATTAAAGTTCTTGGTAGATTCAATAGTAATTGAGAAAGGTAACCTCCTCATCTCATTCTTTTGTAGGTTAGGGTTTTGTGTGATCTTCATTCCCTATACTCTTCTTCCATATCTGTCTTAGGTTAGGGTTTTGTGTGGTTCCTTGTTGTGGAAAAAAAAATCTTTTGGAAAGTTTTGGAGCTAGGTTTTGAAAGATTTGTTTGTCGATTTCAAGTTTTCCTTAAAAGAAGCTCAAGGGTTGATTTGGAATATAGATTTAGCACATATATAGTAAGATGAGTTCTAGTTGATTTGCAAAACTATAAACATGTCAAAATATATCTATTCTGGGTTTTGATCACATTGTCTTGTTTTGAATGTCGGTTTGATGTAAAGCAACATTTACTTATTGGATGTCATTTTAGAAATGGTAGGTTTTATGAAGATGTTCCTTTGAATTTAAATGTTATTTTAAATAAGGAATAGATTATTTAAGAGAACTTTTCCAGTTTTATTGTTTTACGTTTATGAGATAAAACCGCTTTAATTTATAGGCGTTAAAACTAACATTTTTTCTTATCGACATGTATATCAGGTCTTAGAGGGATCTGAGTGACATATAGAGCTTTGTAAATGTTCCGATAAGATGGCTAGAAACGTCATCCGGTTTTAAAGATAATAGATTTAGTGGTATTGGTAACACCCGACTTGTTCTAATTTTATTTGAAGGAGTTTTAAATTTTATGCTATTTTCTTAACTTATGGGAGTTACATGGTCCCTACCAATACCATTGATCTCCCTTATTTGTCTATCTTTTATGTTTTTTAAATTCTCCTTTTTTCATCTATCTATACGTATTCCATTAAATTGTTGGAAATAATGAGAATCGAAAGATAAAAACAAATAAAAAAGAAGGAGACCGAGAGCAGGGGCAAAGGCGACAACGGACAATAATAAAGAGGGGACGGCGGTAGGGCATCGAGAGGGAACAATGTCAATGGGTACAAGGGATTTGAGCGGATTTAGCTTCTTTTTTTAACTTCAAATTTTCCTAGTCGTTACATAAATTTTTTTATGTTGAAATAATGTAGATAATCAATTTCTAAAAGTTCATAGGTTTATACATTCAGAAAAAATCAAGGACTTAATCATTCGAGGAAATTCAATAATTTATTTATTCAAAACAATTTCATAAACTTAATTATTTAAAATAGAAAATCAGTTTGTTTTTTTTTTCTAGCAAAATCACCCTTAATTTATTCCAAAAACCCAAAACGTTTTTTGTAATAAGTTTTATAAAACATTACAATTTTTATATATTATATCAATTATAATTTTGATGTATCAGTTATCTTCGTGTTATACGCTAAAGATGATCACTTTTTGAGCAAATGAAACTGAACAACAAAACAAAATCACATGTTGATATTCTGTAGTTGCAAAGATAAATCTTTACAAGAAATTTGCTTTGCAAAATCTTGACAAGCTTCCAACACTAAATCCTCATCTTCCCATTCATCCCGATAAATGTCCGGTCGTATTTTTCTGTTCAAAAATGTTGCCGAATACATTTTCTTTCTCCATTCTTCGGTTTTTCGGCACCCACATTGTGCCGCAATCCAATCGTTGTAATCAAACTGCGAAAACACAACCAAATAGAGTTGGATTTGACTATAACAAACACCCATAGGCCTAAGAGGGACACACTTTGACTTTTGAAGTCAATTAGACCAATTTTCAATCGAAACTTGATATCAGTTCTCTAAATCAATGAAAAGAGATTGATAACCACATTGAAATGTATACCAAATGCTATATAAGAAATGCTCTAATTAAAAAACCCATTGTTCGTGAATCTATTACTAATTTCAATTTGAAAATCAATATGTTTGACTCTAAAAGTCAACATCTGCCCCTAAACTCAAATCTACAAAAAGCATCCTACATTTCAAATCTAGAACATATTATATATGGATCGAGAATTAGAGAACTTGTACCTGATAGCCAGTCATATTATGGGTATATCGTTTTGGGACGCCAGATGTTTGCAACGATGAATAAAATGCTTCGATATCCTTTGTCATCTCGTCTGGTGAAGGCAACAATATTCGACCTGATAATATACCTGCTATCCACTTCAAACAGGGGCAATGGAAAAATCTGTGAATTCAATCATCAAGAAAATAAGAAGTTAATAATTCTTAAAGATGAAATAAACGAGCTTAGCATATCCCACTTGGTGGTGAGGTCTAGGGGATAGAACGTATGCAGATATGTATGTGTTAAAATATGAAGATAACCTTGAATGGCAATCCAACGAAGGAAAGCCAAGGGGCTAATGATGGCGGGAAGGCGTGCTTATAAAGTGGCCCCACCCTATTGTCATCAACGGTCACGATGCCTTTGGTATCAAGAAACGGAAAATGATACGTGTACCTGAGAGAGTAGAGATATCCTTTGTATGTGCTTCAAGATTTAAGAAAATCTCTCGATAAATACATCTGATCTCCTTGCGTTGTATAAAGCCACAAATGAGAATTGGTAAATAGCCAAAAAATAGGACCTAGGTTTGATACTTGTCCCTCATCTAGCAAAGATCATACTACATGTTTCATGGTTAAAGAAATTCTCCTTACGTCATATAACGGAACCCACAACAAGAACTAACTCGGTAAATCTCATGCAGAGCTAAGGTAGGTTAAGATGTACGCCAGTTGAACTAGAAGGTAACAATGGCTGATTCAAGAATAAAAACACAAATGAGGTAATTCATGAATAAGCAGATATCATTTAAGATTGTTTTGATTATTATTTTCTTTGTAGGCTAAATGACGATCGACCAATTGAAATACCTGGAATATGTGCGATTCGGGGATCCGAATAATGCCCGTTACAAACAACCACAGCATCAAAAGCTTCATCCGTATGTTCTTCTTCTTCTCCACCTCTCTTTCTTGATCTCACTTCCCACTTCCCATTTTCCCTTYGCCAAACCCGATTTACTTCCGTCTCTAACCGAACTAACTCACCGATTCCGAACTCGCGAGCGTAATCCTTCAAGTACTCCAAGACCTCCTTATGACCCGGAAACCTCCTCGGATCTCTGTGACCCGTTTTCTTTGCTACAAAAGGGTACTCTCTGGAACTCATTGCTTCTCGGGATATGTT